GGGGGGGGGGGTATTTAAAGTAAAAGCAGCAATTTTCAACCTTTTTCATCTCCTGGAACACATGAACTAATTACTAAAATTCTGTGGCACACCAGAAAAATGGTATAATTTTGACTCATTCATACCGGAGTGCTATTGCTGTGTTGGCTGTTGTCATTTTGTTTTGTTTGACAATCTAAGGAAAAAGGGTCCATTCTCCTAAATATTCAGGTATTTCACGTTTTAAAAATTCTCACAGCACACCAGTTGAAAATTGCTGTACTAGAGGCTAATACAAATCTGCAAGTAGATTTGGCATAATCTGTAGTTTCAAAAGGTAATTAATTCTAGCTGCTTTGAACAAAATGGAATATATTGCCTCAAGAGTCTATAAGCAGAGTTTAGGTTTTCTAATTAAAAAATATTTTTCTGGTTCTAGACATTTAAGAGAACTCCTCCAATCCGCTAAGCAATCCACTAAGCTATTGAAACAGACTTCTGTGGCCACATACAAAAATGCTGCATCAAAGGACGAGTGGATAAAGAAGGTGTGATACATATATGCAATGGAATATTACTCAACAATAAAAAAGAAATAAATCTTACCATTTGTGACAACATGGATGGATCTAGAGGGTATTATGCTAAGTGAAACAAGCCAGAGAAAGACAAATACCTTATGATATTATATGTGGAATCTAAAAAACAGAATGAACCGATGGCTGCCAGGGGGATGGGGTGTTAGGGGGCTGTGTGGAAAAGGTGAAGGGATTAAGAAGTACAAAGTGGCAGTTGCAAAATAGTCATGGGGATATAAAGACTGGTTTAGGGAATATAGTCATTAATATTATAATAACTATGTATGGTGTCAGGTGGGTACAAGACTTTTCAGGGAGTCACATGTGTAAATGACCACTATGCTGTATACCTGAAACTAATATAATACTGAGTGTTAAATATAATTAAACATATATTTAAACTTTAGAAAACATATTTTATTTTTAAATTATGTATATATGTATATATATACTTACTACACTGTCGCATGCAATCCACAGTATCTTATACATACTACTTTGCTCTGCATTGACTTTTAAGTAGCCAAGTCATACTTTTGGCTCACAGTACTTTTTTGGTAAGGGAACTTTCCAAGGTTTTTCATTTCTATCATAGTTAAACCCTTTTTTCTTCCATTATATATTAAACCAATGTTTTAAACTTAAAAAAAAATTATCACAAGATCCACCAATTTCAATCTTAGATATATACCTAATATACCTAAAATAATTGGAAAAAATATTCAAACGAAACCTTGTACATAAATGTTTTTAACAGCGCTATGCAAAATAAGGAAAATACCCATATGTCTATGAACTGATGTTTGAAAAATCACTGTGTACTTTTATAATGAGATCTTTTTCCAGACATTAAAAAAAGACGTGTACAAGCTACAATGGGAATAACCTTGACAACTTTATGCTAAGTGAAAGAAGCCAGATTTTAAAATCACCTATGATTTTATGATTCCCTTTATATGAAAAATCCAAAATAGGTAAATCCTTAGTGACTGAAAGAAGATTAGTGGTTAGTAGAGCTTTGTTTTGGGGTGCTGCAGTGTTTGGGGACTAGATAGAGGTGATTGTTGCACAACATTGTGAATGAGCTAAATGCCATAAAATTATACATTTCAAAATGGTTGATTTTTTTGTTATGTGAATTTTACCCCAATAAAAAAAAGTCTTCTACTATTTCTAATACTTCTCTGAGCTTATTTATTGAATACCTACTAAATGTTTTATTTATATTATGTTACACAATTCTTAAAAGAGATAGGTATATATTGTATTTCCTATATCTTATATGAACAAGCTGAGGTAAAAAGGGGTGAAGTAAATTCTCCCATGTTACATAGCTACTATTGTCTGACCCCTAATGCAAGCTCAGTTTGACCCCATGGCCAATACTGTGTCCATAGTGGCCTCCTCTGCCTCTTAGCGCTGTGCTTCATATATAGCCTTCTCTGTTCTCTAAGATACAACAGTAGTGCTGTATTAGATGGCTACATTCAACAGAATTCTGTAAGTCGAGCCTTCTAGTTTTCAAACCCTCCTGGTGCTGTGAGACGGGGTGTACCGGGACCTAGTTACACAGCAGGAGCTTGACAAATGGGTACTTTACGGTGCTGCCAAGACGTGCGCTGCATGTAGCCACGCGTCACCCAGATAATGCCAACTTACCCCAAACGGCACATAATTAGCAGCCTAGTAATAGGTGTAAATCTACTGAAGGCAAATAGAGTTTTCCATGGAAAGTTCTGATGTTGTTGACAGCAGGCAATTTAAAAGTCTGGTGTTAAAATATTTTACCTTCTGACATTAAATAAACTCTATCCTAACATCTGAACTGAACTAATATGGTTATGAACTATGAGTAATTTAACAGTATGTAAAATTGTAAACTGCAAGTAATGTTTCTTTATATGATATACATTTATATAGTAGAGTAGATATATATTAGTAGTCCCAGGAGTGATTTTAGTGTTTTTCAGATTCAGAATTTAAGAACGAACAAAGGAGATTGTATTAAGTGTATTTACTTCCCTTATTTTTGAGTGAAAGTGACTATGTATTTATGGCAAATTAAATTGAACAAACTAAATTTCCATACCTAAAAAAAGTAAAGGTGAGATCATATATTGACAATTAAAATAGATTTTTAACTACTAATGTGCTGTGTGTCACATCAAGTGGATGTGTTCCAGAACTGGAAGCTACCTTTATAAAGCAGTGTGTGTCTGTGAGTTATTTTGAAGACACTTTGCATGTGAAATCCATCCAAAGCCAGAATGAATACGAGCTATATATTTGGAATATAGCTGACAGGATCAGAGTTTTACAACAGAGAAATTATTTGTATGTTTCTCATAATTTCCTTAATCTTTTACAATTACTATTTCTGGCATTGCCTGTGATCTTCTGATTGTGATTGAAGAACTTGACACTGTGTGATCTTTAAGATGGGCACTTGTGAAGCTATCTAACTTCTATATTGTTTTCCTCTAAACTATTTATCTTAAATAAAACAAAGATTACAGGAAAAATAGTGGTTTTAAATCTTTTTTGAGTAGTATTAGAAATATTCAAATCTTCATTGCAATGCAATTCACTTATGGCTAATATAGGTTTTTTTCCTCATGCCTATTTTCATTTTTCTCAGTTACAGTTTAGGTTTTTCCATGTACAACTTGTATTACTATTCATGGGTTTAATATTACCTAAGCTTAAATGATGTGCTGTGTGTCTACAGAGAGAGAAAAGAGGAAGAGAGAGGGCCAGAGGCATACATACATGAATGGAAAAATAGTCTAAAAATGTTATATTTTGGTGTAGCATAGTTTTATTCTAGGAGATAACTGCTCTAACTACTTTATACAATTTAGACTTTAACTATATGTATAGATTTATATACAAATACATAATGTAGATATTATTCTATATATTCACTCACTCAATACCATATCATGGCTGTGTTTTAATATTGGTGCTTAAGGAACTTTGATTTCAATAACAATTTTGTCACTTTATGCATATACTATAATTTTATAACTGTTTATAAACATTACAATAATTTCAGTCATTTACTACCACAAAGGCAAACTCAACACATATTTTCCTCATACATATAAATTAAAAGGAAGACATCCTAGAAATTAAGTTTAGTAGGCAAAATAGCTTCAAAGGGGGCATGTATTTATTTATTAATTTTTCTTAGCATTATCCATTAATGTTTTAAATCTCTCACACAGAAAGAGAAAATTCATTAGAACAGAGTGCTGAATCTTATAATGGACTCTATTAAAACATTTCTATCCTGACCTCGCTCTTTCCACTATGTATAAATTCAAGATTTAATGGAGTATCACATGGCTATAAAAAATAAGGAAGTCTTCCGTTTTGCGACGGCATCGATGGACCTGGAGAGTATGATGCTAAGGAAAATAAGCCAGTCAGAGAAAGAAAAATACCATATGATCTCACTCATATGTGGGATCTAATTAACAAAACGGAACCAGAACCATGAATACATGGAACAGGCGGGCTGGGGGTGGCTAGGAAAAGGAGGTGGAGGTGGAGGTGAAGGAAACAGCTAAAGCACACAGGTGCATACCCATGGACATGGACATGGACAATGATTTGGTAAAGGCCAAGGAAGGGGTAGGTGGGCAAGGGGTAGTGGGGGGGGGGACTTCTGCAATGATGTCAATGTAAAACAATTTTTTAATAACTTTTAAAAAGTAAGCATCAGATTGGGAGAATAGGTTACTTATTCACTAAACCAGAAACCGTGATGAAAAAGATAAGTACCTTTTATTTCTTCTGAATTCCAAAATGTCACAAAGACAAACTAGTAGTTAATATTTCTGACATACACATTGCTGAGTATTACTACAGAAAATTCAAAACTGGGCATGTATATCTACATCTGCATACGCCTATAAATTCATGCTTTCTTACCTTCACTGGGCCTTCACCACTGCTGATGTTATTATCTAGTAATAGCTTACTTGTCCACTCATCACTCCACCTCTGCTTTATGCTGTGAAAAATTCTCTCTTCACTCATCAGTCCCCAATGGCCTTGCCTCATAATTCCTAGGGGGGTGGGAAACAGCAGAAGACATTAGAATCGCTATTCATCTTCTGAACAACAAAATTATAAACCTACTGGCACTTACGTATCCTTTTTCCTTTGTTGCTCCTTAAACTAGTAAATGTTCTTGTCTAAGAAGCGATCAGACTGAACACCAGCCCCACTTGCCTTCTCATTGATCTGCTCCAACAAATGCTATTTTCTCTCTCCCTCATCTCCAGGATCACCCTCTCCATGGGATCTTCACATTCAATCTCATATTTTCACATCGTACAAAAATAAATCTAATGGGACTCTACACAACCATCTCAGCCAAATATTTGCAATTATTTAAGGAAATTATACTACTACTCTACAATCCCTTTTAGACAATAGAAGCAGAGACAATACTTCCTAAATCATTGCATAAGGCCAGCATTATCCTAATACCAAAACTAGATAAAGACATTACAAGAAAATAACTACAGACAATTATTTCTCAAAAATATAGGTGCAAAAATTTTCAGGATATTAGCCAATTGGATTCAACAATATAATAAAAAGAATTAAATACCACAATCAAGGGGCATTTATCCTAGCTATGCAAGGCAGTTTCAATATTCTAAAAACAATATAATCTATTGTATCAACACACTCAAAAAATCATTGATTATATCAATAGATGCAAGAAAAGCTTCTGACAAAATCCTATACCCAATTATGATAGAAACTCTCAGTAAACTAAGAATAGAGGGAACCTTCCTCAACTTGATAAAGAATACCTTTACAGAACTCTCTAGCTAACATCATACTCAATTGTGAGAAACGAGAAACATTCTACTAAGACTGGGTGCAAACAAGCATGTCTCCTCTCAATGCCCTTTTTCAAAATTATACTGGATGTCCTAGCTAATGGAAGAAGATAAGAAGAATAAAGGTATATTTATTGGAAATGAATGT